CCGCCAAATTTGGGGGAATATTACTCATAGTAGCGAGGCTAATCGCTTCTGTTGCGGTCTGGAAAAAAATTTCATTTATTTTTTTTGTTTGTAACCAATTTTTCGTTGAAAACACAAAAAGCCAAAAAAAACTTGTTCGTTGTAAAAGGTTTTTGTTGTATTAGGCTTTTTTAAGACAAAATTTTTGAAAAACTTGTAATTTTTTACTCAAAAATTAGATAGCCTTGGCCTAAAAATTGAGACTGAAAAAATTTTTTTTGCTATAGGAAGATGAATTTGTTATACAGAGGTTCTATTGTAACCAAAGTTTTCCCAATGAAATAGAACCTTTGTATAACAAACTCCCTTAAAACGAAACCTGTATATAACAAACAAGTTCAGCGGTCTCAAAAAGTCAATTCTAGGCCAAAATAAAATAAAAAACCCTCCTTGCAACGAAACCCTTCAACAACGAACAATTTTTCAACATCTCTTTACTTTACTATCATTCTGTCGGGAAAATAACGTGGATTCGTCGCGCCTTGGAATCGCCCATCATCGCTTTGCGACGGCAGTTATTAAGGGAAGTTTTTCAAAAAATGATTTCTGAACCTTTAAAAATCCCTCGCCAACCTTATGGTTACTATTCAAGCCACTTATACACCTGGAAATTCGCAAAATCTAACAGGGGAAGTACTCCAAGTGCGACGCTCAGATTTTCTTTAAATTTTGCACACACGTCGGGTATGGACTAAATATCAATTCCTGAAAGTTTTAGCTCGCACTTTGCCGGCGCCGCCGAGATATCGAACGATTTTTGCCGCCGAGAGAGTACGCTAAACGTGGAGAGCGGTCAGAGAGAAAAGCGCTTTTTGGCCATAATTTTGACAGTTTCGTGCGGAAAATTTTGACTTTTTGTAGAAACATTATCCTTTACGGTTGAAATAGGTATGAAACTTTTCGTGCGGAAATTCGGCAAAAAGTCCTAAATTTTGGCCGACTTTCGATCTAAAAATCTCGGTTGTTTCTGCAAAGCGCGAGCTAGGATTCTCGCATATATCTTAGAAAAAATTACTCTAAATTTGTGCCAAGTTTCATCAAAATATGAGCGTCGCACTTGGAGTACTTCCCCTGTTAATTCGCAACATCTAAATTCAAACGATGGATCTGGATTTCCCTTTTTAAGAAAATTTTGGCCGATTTCTAAACATGCCCGCAGGGTATCCGTGGTTCTTTTGGCTGCCCGCAAAATGGTTGCCGCAAGTGTGGACCCGCCGATAAACCCTCATGTTAGTGTCGCAGTTGGGGTACTTCCCTGTCTAAGCATGGCTGCAAACCGGGCCAGCCCCGCCCGGCCCGGTTTGGACCGGAAAATTTTTGTACTAGGCTGGAAAGAAACAAAGCAGGAAATGAAGGGAAAATTATTGGACATTTTCGCAAAATGTAAAGAATAATTTAGCAAAACCTATACATAGTGCAATTTCCGCATGACTTTTTTATAAATTACTAAGTCGCCATAAATTGTCTTACCATATGGTTACAAAAAATCATAAAATTTGTGTGTAGTACGTTCGCTATCAGCATCGTGTTCAAAAAAAATGAAAAATTCTATCGAAGAAGCTGATTTTTTCCCTTTTTTCCGGGCAAAACTCAGATTTCAAAAAAACCGGGCCGGCGCGGGCCGGAAAATTTTGGAAAGCCCGGCCCGGAGCCATGCCTACCCCTGTCAGCCAATTCGGAGCGGAATAGGTTATTTTTATTGAAACGTTGCCATCTCTCCAGTAAAAATAAGGCCAAAATTTCTCCATAACTCCAGTAAGACTTGTACTCCACTTACCTCGAACATAGCACACACACAATCTCGTGGTAAATTGAAACATCATTTCATTGCTGCCTCATATTCATTCACAGATGTGTGAGATTGAGACTACAATTTTATTTAGTAATAAGAGATCAATGTTCGGGGTAAAATGCTTGACGCTTTTCGACTTCCTCCGTCTCCGAGCTCTCTTCCATAATTGCAAAGCGAGAGTTCATTAATCAAACAGCTCGTTCGTTAAGGTGGTTATTGGAATGCATTTATCAAGATCGTTGGGTAAAGTTATGGGGTTATTGGATCGAAAAGAGTTGAAATATTGAAAAAAATAAAAGCAAAAAGTTGAAATTGACTGAAAAACTTCAAAGAAACTGGGCCGAGAGCTTCTCTTTGCCAATTCTCTGCGACGGCGCTGATATAAAAGGCGCTACGACGGCGCTACGACTTTGCGGGTTGGCGACAGTTTGGGACAACGACACTATGGATCGTATCAGTTAGTCGTTCGTATCAGCCCGTCGTTGTATGCATGTGGAGGGCTAGGAGAAGGCTTAGATAGCAGAAATAGGAAGATTGATCGGGTCCTAAGAGAGCTTTTCGTCTTTTTTTGAGATATTTTACGTGTAATCACATCAATAATGTCTAGACAAAAGTCACGGATCTTCGTTTTTTGCCCCAAATTTTGGTCTTTTATAAGTTACAATCGTCCGCCGACCAGCTAACGTCCTTGCCAGGCCTCGTAGGCATACCATTACTATTAGGGTGTCCCATAAATCTTGCAAATTTTTGGGTTGTCGATTTGTGCGAATTCTTGAAAGCTTTGAAACGCATTACGGAGTATGTTGGATAAACTGTTGTAAAGCTCAGATAAAGCGCTTCTAAATCGTATATGACAAGGCCCTTTAAAGCTCTTCGCCTGTCCTAGACCTCGTATCGATCGATTCTGTGTCGACCAGAAAACGGGACATGTCTGCGACGTCCAGCCAAATCTTGGCATGTCCTTAAAACAATTTGCGCAGCCTTTCATTTGCGGCGTAGCAGAGTCGGGGCGTGGGCCACGCCGCTCTGTATGAATTAGTCAAAATCCGAGGCGACAAGATCGGGAATGTATTATCAGTGGAGTGATTGGGCTCGTTGCCAGGCGGCAGCGATAATTATCGCCACTTTTTTTAGGAACTCCCAGCTCTGATCGTAAGGAAAGAAGTAACTCTGCTATGAAAGCTATGAAATGTCACTCAGTCGGGAAAATAATGAGCACAATTTGCTGACGCGTCGCTGAACTGAAAAGCAACTGGATTTGTCGCGACACAATTCATTTTTTCGGTGGCGATGCGATTTTCGATGCGACAAAGTGCTCATTATTTTCCCGACAGACTGTTAGAAAACCGACCTCATAAATTGAAAGTCTCAATAAAACCATCGCTTCGAGACAGTTGCTTTGTAATGTTGAAATTTTTTTGCAATCAAAATCCAACTTACGGAACAAGACCCTCGCAAATGCGGCCGACTGCGACCAATAGTAGTCCTTCATGGCGCCGGCACCATCCAAATTCAGCACCCTGTTTCCAGTGAATACTCAAAAACACTTGGACGGAGGCAACCGAAATTAAATATGACTCATTTTCTTCGCGGAGGTCGCGTTCAAAAGACGCCTTGCAAGATAACGGATGTTTAGTCTTGACAAGTGGTTTGCGCAAACAAAAAATTTGGAAAGTCGCTCTGACCCCGAGGATTTAACGGCGGGAATCCACAGGGCTTTCCAGAGATGACATCAGAAAAATTTGAAGTTTATCCCTTGGCTGTAAGCGTGTTTATTTTGACATCACAAGCACAGGTTATTACAGGGTCTTTCAAGAAACGTGAAGGAAAGTAGGAGGCTATAACTTTCGGCGGAGGCGGCGCAGAGAGTTCGTTTTTGGAATATGTATTTTTAAGCGACATTATTTTTTGGGGTCAACGCAAAATTGATCGACACAGGGCGTAGGGCAGACGGATACCCAAAAAAAGGATGTAGGAAGTGCCTACAAGGCCTGGCAAAGCCGTTGGATAGTCGGCGGACGCTCGGGGAAGGCTCGGCGGAGACTTGGCGAAGACTTGCGACGTACCCATTTTTTCTAATTTCAAGGCTGAGGGGTTCTCAAAAGCGGGACAGATGCTGGCGCAGACCCAATGTTGCTTTTTTGCGGTACTTTTGATATCTCAACAGCCAGTTGAAAATTAAACAGTTCGGGGGAACACAAAACCTATCGATTCCGTAGCGTGGGGCAGGCTGAGACCCACAAAAATGTTGCCACCGGGCATCCAAGACGGTGGTAAAGCCGTTAGATGGTCGGCGGAGACTTGGCGAAGGTTTACAATATGTCCATTTTTTCTAATTTTAGCCATTACAAACGTTAGTTTTCTTTACCCTGAGCTATATATTAACATAGAAAAAACGAAAATTTGCGACTTTTCGGGTCAACGATGCTATGGATCGCGTCGATTCGTTGTTGCATGCACGAGGAAGGCTAGGAGCTCCTAGGATAGCTTATCAACTATTTTGAGGTGTTTTACGTGTATTCACATCAATAATATCCAGATAAAAGTCATGGATCTTCGTTTTTAGCCGCAAATTTTGGTCTTCTATATGTTACAATAGCTCAGGGTAAAGAAAACTAGTTAGTAACAGTTGAAATTAGAAAAAAATGGACATATTGTAAACTTTTCGTCAAGTCTCCGCCGACCATCTAACGGCTTTGCCACCGTCTTGGATGCTCGGTGGCAACATTTTTATGGGTCTTAGCCTGCCCTACGCTACAGTATCAATAGGTTTTGTGTTCACCCGAACTGTTTAATTTTCAACTGACTGATGAGACATCAAAAATACCGCAAAAAAACTACATTGGGTCTGACGTCAGCATTTGTCCCGCTTTTGAGAACCCTCAGCCTTAGATTATATTATTTTAGGTTAAAAACTGATGATTTTAACAACTTTTGCCTAAATTTACTAGTATCTGAAGGCAAAACACCTTTCAGTTGCCTGTATCCGTTTTTTTGTACATTATTTATTAATTATGAGCACCTGCTTCGAAAAAAACCCATAGAAAAACCTTAAAATTTCATGGATAAAATGAGAAACCGGGGGGAATTACAAAAATATTACTGATGGTTAATAAACAACGAAAATCTTGATTAAATTTACATTTTCCGTCTTATGGTGTCTCAATTTCTACTTCTGAGTACCGGGGATCCAGCTGACAGCCCAATTGGACCAGCTCTGAGCGGTTTTTCCAATGTCAATACTGGGCATGGAGAGGTCGAGTTTGGCTGGGCAAGCCTTCTGAGGTGGATGCATTGGACGGCGTCTGATGAAGAGAGCAACGAGAATTAAAGCTGAGCCAAAAAGCAGATGATGACGGTAATTTTGGAAGTCATGACGAAGAATTTTGAGAATGGAATGCTGACGATGCCCGCAATTGGGACAGTAGGCGTGCTGGGGCCTGGAAAATGATACAATAAACGTTCCAGAGAGTAAATTACGATATGAAATTACTCTACGCCAATATTCCTTCAAAAACTCCGACTTGATATTACTTTACGAGGGAATGGTCTGAACTTCCCCCAGCGTTTCGGAAAAGGACTGGTACAGGTGGATAGAGCAGCTCAACTTTGGTAAAAAGAGCCATTTTCCAGCTGCGGAATAAGCCCGGCCGACGAGAAAAATCGACCGAAAGTTCCACAAAAATTTCCTCTTTCTCTTCCCTCGGAAAAGAAGAGCGGTGTCCAATGGTTCGGTTGGCCGAGTGGATAAAGCGTCCGCTCGGTATTCTTTTGGGGGTTGGTTCGATTCCGGGGCAGCGCGAAGGACCGTGATAAGACTTTGGTGTAAGCAAGATCAAACTCTTATGAAGCAAAAAAATATTTTGGCATTTTTATACGTTTTATAGAGGGGCACTATACCGAAAACACAAATAACCGTGAATTTTTTTGGATTTTTCCAGACCTACAAAGCGACGGAACGTCGAAGTCATACATGTTTGGTCATAGATAAGGGTATCTCTATCTTTTTGAAACGGACTGTACCCCCAATTAGTATTGCTTAAAAATTGTTGTATAACCTATAAAGTCTTATTACGGTCTTTCGCGCTGCCCCGGTATGACTTCGACTTTTCAACGCTTTGTGGGTCTGGTAAATCCAAAAAAAATCATTTTTTCACGGTTATTTGTGTTTTCGGTATAGTGCCCCTCTATAAAACGTATAAAAATGCCAAAATATTTTTTTGTTTCATAAGAGTTTGATCTTGCTCACACCAAAGTCTTATCACGGTCCTTCGCGCTGCCCCGGAATCGAACCAACCCCCAAAAGAATACCGAGCGGATGCTTTATCCACTCGGCTAACCGAACCACTGGACACCGCTCTTCTTTTCCGAGGGAAGAGAAAGAGGAAATTTTTGTGGAACTTTCGGTCGATTTTTCTCGTCGGCCGGGCTTATTCCGCAGCTGGAAAATGGCTCTTTTTACCAAAGTTGAGCTGCTCTATCCACCTGTACCAGTCATTTTCCGAAACGCTGGGGGAAGTTCAGACCATTCCCTTGTTAGGCAAAATTTAGGTAACAAAAATTTTTTATTTCTCTATTTACAACATGAAAAGCTTGTAAAATCCAAGAATACAACTAGTAAATGAACCATAGCCTTTACCCAGCAAATTTTCCTATGATTTTGATCAAAACCACCTAAAGTAACATCAATTTGTCAATTTTCAGTAAAGAAAATTATTAAATCCGCCTGGAAATGGCGCTAAAATTCCATGGTAGCGTAATCAGCATCTTCTTTTTTACCTAAACACCAACAAAAACTACAAATACGATTGGGCCCGGTTTTGTTCCCACCCCGGTTTTGTCCCCAAGACGGTTTTGTCCCCAGGACGTTTTTGTCCCCACTTTTTTCGAGCCTTTTTGTCCCCAGACCGGTTTTGTCCCCAGGACGGTTTTGTCCCCAAGACGTTTTTGTCCCCACTTTTTTTATTTTTTTTCCCCACACCGGTTTTGTCCCCAGGACGTTTTTGTCCCCAAGCTAGATAGTACGATTAAAAAGCATGCATTCAGATGTTAATGCTGTTTGTTTGGTGCACAGTACTGCAACATGTTCTTAGCACTTGGTACTGTATAGTACAAGGTGGTACTATAAAGCACGAGGTAAAAATTAAGCCATAGCGCGTGAATGACGTTGTTTTGGTATGCAGTACTGATCAGACGTTCATTTTGTACAAAAACAAATTCGTGCTATATAGTACCATGTGCTAAAACACATTTTTGAGAAGTACTGGGCTTCAAACCCATAGCATTGACGTGTTATGGCATAATTTTTACCTCGTGCTATATAGTACCACCTCGTACTGTACAGTACCAAGCGCTAAGAACAAGTTGTTCGAGCAGTACTGTGCACCAAACCAACAGCATTAACATCTGAATGCATAATTTTTAATCGTACTATCCAGCTTGGGGACAAAAACGTCCTGGGGACAAGACCGGTGTGGGGACAAAAAAATAAAAAAAGTGGGGACAAAAACGTCTTGGTGACAAAACCGTCCTGGGGACAAAACCGGTCTGGGGACAAAAAGGCTCGAAAAAAGTGGGGACAAAAACGTCCTGGGGACAAAACCGTCTTGGGGACAAAACCGGGGTGGGGACAAAAACGTCCACTACGACAAATACTTACTTCAAAAAGCCATAACAGCCGTCACATCTGAACTTGAATTCATAGCCACAGTTAGAACAGAAAGAATCATTCTTGGTAACGCAGAGGACCTTGCACATTGAGCACTTGTAATTCTCACCATTTTCGGCGTCATTTCCGGGCAAGAGAACTGGGGAATCAGTCATTTCCGATCTAAAACAACATCAGTGAGAAAGTGTTGAAACTGAACGGAATTCGATATGAAAAATAGTTTAAAACGCGTAGTAGGTCTTTACGTTGATGATCAAAGTGAAAAAAAATGGCAAAAAGCAAACCAAACAGTAAAATTTACATTACACTAGGCATTTTAGGTAACAAATTGCGCAAAAACTAATGCAACTTACCCAAACTAACAAAAATAACATTTCACACAATTGTAACTGTAAATTTTAGTAAACTGCTAGGTATATAACGCTGTTTGCGACAGCAAAGAGCATCAAGAAATCGAAAACTTCCTCAAGTAGACAAAAAAATATTTATAGCAAAAAATTTCAGAAAAATCTCTCAAAATTTTAGAAACAATATCTAGAACAACGCAATACATCTCTGTGAAGGCATTCACCATCTTCTCGACCTTCCTTTCAACCAGTAATAGAGCCCAAAATAGGCGACACCAACAGCGATTGTGGTGCCAAGAACAAATCCGGGATTCCTGTGGAGGATTCCCAGCCTCCACATCTCGTACCAGTGCCATCGCTTTGCCCCACAATGTGCACAGTACTTATCGACCGGCCTGAAAGGTAAACATTTTTTGGCGGTAAATTCGAATTCGAATCGGAGGCAGAGTTGACACAATAAATATAGTTGGGCCAAGTGTTGCACTAAACCAAATTTTGATGTGAAAATTAGGATTTTGCGGGGAAAACGTCGTGAACTTGATAAAATACAACTTACCTCACGTTCTTTCCGCATTTCGTGCAACTGAAATTGATTCTGAATCCGCATTTTCGACAATATTTGTCGTCTTTGTTCTTGATCTCTGTACTACAAGAGGGACACGATCCCTCTGAAACGACGACAAATCCTGTGTCGTTTTTAGCTACTACTGTTCCGTGAGACATTGAGTCAGGCGTAGGACCGTATAATACCTAAAAAACCGAAGCTTTTTTGCCATTCTCTCTCATGGGTAATATAATTGGTAGATTGGCGCGACAGTCGGAAAAATCCGATGAAAAAGTCGGGTAAAACCTCGTATACAGTAAAACAGCTATGCTACGACTACTACATGAGCAATTGGAGTGCAAATTCCACGCGAATTTACCTGTTTTTGCTCGAAATTTTGGAAAATTGAGGTATTTTTTGCAATTTCAACATTTTTGTAAGGTGCAAACTGTAGAAAATTGTATTTTATTGTACAAATTAAAAGTTCGTAACGATATAAATGCATAATACAACAAAGACCTAGGTAATAAAAATCTCTTATGGGTGGTATTGGATATAAAGTGGGGGAAACGAGGGGACGGAGCAGATTCGTGGTTGCAGACCCGTGAAAAAGTGTAAGAAATGATGGATTATGGGCAAACTCTCTGTCTGACATCCTATTTTAGGAGAAAATTATCGAAAATATTGACTTTTCGATAATTTTCTCCTAAAATAAGGTGTCAGACTGAGAGTTCACGTTAAAAATGGCCTTAAAACTGGGGTAAACTTTAGGAAACAGACTAGAAAACAATTACAGGTTATTAGCGAACAAAATACGATATCAAAAAGGGGTCTTCGACCTTACGCAATATAAATATTTGAGTTATTTTACAATCAAACCTAGTCTAATGTACATGAGAACAAATTGATTCCACAAGCCATGTGAGTCAATACATAGGTAGCCTAATTGGTGTAGATCTGGCCGTCAGTCTAGCAGTTTAACGTGGGCGATTTCGGAGGAGAGCGCTGCGGTCCAGGACCGAGATATTCGAGTTGCCGAATCCGAAATTGGAGGGAATTTTGGTCGAAAATCCGTTTCTTCCGAGATTTCCAGCTATTCCAAGACTTGTTGTTTGCTGCGATGGTTGGTCAAGAGTGGGTTTTGGAGGTAGACTTTGCTGGGTTGAGCTTGAAAACAGGGATGAAAGCCAATTTGCATTGGGTAGCCAGTTCGAATCCGAGCCAATCCAACTGGTGGGTCGTTCTCTTGGCGAATTCTTTTTCGTTCGAATTTTTGGCGATAAGCATAACGAATCCAACGAGTCGAGGGTCAGCGGTTTTGCCGTTGGTGTTGGCGCGTCAGGACTAACAGTTCTTCGTCGCGTTCTGTCGCCAAAATTGAACTCTTTGGTCGCGGACTTCACAGCGATCCCGTCTTTTGGCCCATTCAAGACTGCTCCGTCAAGTCCCACGCGCGGAATTGAGGGTGCCGGCATCAGACTGAGCAGGCCGAACGAATGACTTTTGGAGATCGGACGGGGACGGCTTAAGGCAGCGTCACCCACCAGTAGACCTGTTGGATCCAGTCCTCTTGACAGGTGCGTGCGGGTGGGGCTGGAGTGGTGGGGAGGGTGCGGTTGGCCCACCAGTTCCACACGACTAACAGGATTTGCCAGGGCACCAGGCTCAGCAGCAGGGCCGTAGAGTTTTGACTGAAATTTGGGGAAAATGAGTTTAGTTTATGATATACAGTGGCGGACCTGATCCAGTGGCAAAAACGTAACATTTTGCGTTCGGGAAGTATCAAAAAATGTAGCAAAATGCCTACCTCTCCAAGTGAAAAAACTGATTTCAAAGGCGCGCCCGCTCTTTTTGTGAGGGCCCTTCAAAACGGAGTTTTTTCACTTGGAGAGGGAGGCATTTTGCTACATTTTTTGATACCTCCCGGATGCAAAATGATACGTTTTTGCCACCGGATCAGGTCCGTCACTGTATAAGATCAATACTGACAAAACTGTTTTTCAGTTTTGGTTTTAATATAACAGTAAAAATTAATCATGCCCGTTCTTACCTTCTCCACATGCCGAATGGTACAGAACAGTGCTTTCGAGGGTCCCAGACCTCGACGTTGCCGAAAGCGCTCGTATTCGTCCTCGATCTGAAAACCGACAATATCACTGCTTTTATGTCGAAAATTCAGACAATAAAAAGGGTAAGGGAGGCCAACAGGACATGTGCTGCACATAGATATAACATCGGGACACATCAGAAAAAACATTGTACATAGGGATACTGTAACAGAGATACCGTCACACAAAACGGCAATTGCACGCAAATTTGGACTGCAAACTATCTGAACAGTGGTCTACTGGACATTTGAAGTGATTTCTAAGGCAAACTACAGCACGAGGTACTGTAATTTGTAGGATATTATATTACACTGAACATAGGGCAAAGGGAGAAGCTCAATGCTGGGGGAAATGTTAATTTTTTGACCTGTTAGTCTCATTGTATTGTAGTTTAGGGGGGTTGTAAAGTAGTAGAAGTAAAATTTTCGATAGCAGTAGTCGAGATTCGGAATGAAAATCATTCCATCCAAAACCCCCGAAAATATGTGATATTGGGTGCTAAGCAGTTAGTGATCTCCAATAAACAGTGTTACAGTGCTCCAACTAGTGGGGGCAATGATTCCATCTAGCGGAACAACACTGCTGACGGTGGGGGGAATTAGTGTGCAGCGGCAATGTCGAGCAAGTGCAGGGTCCTGGTGGCGCGGATTAGTGAGAGTAGGAGGAATGAAACTCGACGATACCTTTGGGGCCGGCGCGAGAACTGGTTCAGCCCGAGTTTGTGGGCGTGCTCGGGGAGCATGAAGTCGCGGAACAGGTCGATGTCCACACAACAGGGCGCCGAGCTGGTGCGGGAACGCCGGGGCCACACGTTCCGGCCATCCGACGGCTAAAAACATAGAGCCATGGAGAAGAGAGAAAACCGGTTTTCTGAGGCGACATTGGACGTAGACTAGGCTTGGCTAGCAGTTTCGGGGGAGTAACTTTTTTTATTTTCTGGCCCTGAGGGTGTTTTCGACCGCAAAGTTTCGTGTTTTACTCGAAATAGTAGTTTGTTTTTCCAAAAACTTCTGGGAAGACTGCAGTGAAGGACCCGATCCAGTGGCAAAAAACGTACCATTTTGCATCCGGGAAGTATCAAAAAATGTGGCAAAATGCTTCCCTCTCCAAGTGAAAAAACTTCGTTTTGAAGGGCACGCCCCTCACAAAAAGAGCGGGCGCGCTATTGAAATCGGAGTTTTTTCACTTGGAGAGGGAGGTATTTTGCCACATTTTTGATACTTCCTGGATTCAAAATGATACGTTTTTTTGCCACTGGATCAGGTCCCCCACTGTATGTCTAAATTTCGATAAAATGCACTTATTTGACGGAAAAAATATTCAAGCCGTATTTTACAATTTCAGTAAGCTCTCTTCAACTGTTAGTATTGTGCTAAGCGGGCCTGGTGCGAGATTACAAAGCTTCCACGGGGAATAAAAGCATTACGCCATACGATAATTCAAGACTACAGAACTTGTTGTCTAAAGTCACAAAGAGTTCATTCCGACTTCACAGTATTTTGTAGTCGGGGGGCTAAACAAGCGTCACTGAGCGAGCAAGCAGTGGGAATTTTTCGAAAAGTATGGCAAGAGAAGACAAAATAATAATTTTTGTCTCTTCTTGCCATACTTTTCAAAATTTCGTGGTCGATTGAGGGAAACAGGTCAGAAAAATGGGAAAGCAAGCTTTTTTGAGATACTACCTTTTTGAAAAAGTCGTTTATTACAAATTTATTATATTACACTAGACCCAGGTCTACCACAAACAGCTTCTACAACCACCAAACAAGCCTAGGACTGCCGAAACTAGCACCACAGCGACGAATACGAAAAGCGGCAACACTTACAACACAAAGCGACGGGTTAGGCGTGTTTCTCACCTTTCTTCGGACCTCCATTTTCTTCAAACTGAACTCGAGATCTTTGGTGCCGGGTCGGCCCGGTTCGCCCAATCTTGGGCCATTATAGTTGTTTAGGAGTTCCAAAGTCCTTGGGGTTAGATCATCGTCTTCTTCGGGGTCTTTGATTTGTTTCGTGACCTCCGTGGCGGACTGAACTTTTTGGATTTTTCTGTGCGCAATTCTGTTTCGATTCTCTTTGGTATCCTCTTCCTCATCATCTGAGATGATGCTCGAGTCCGAGGGTTGATTTGAGGTCTCCGAATTTGGCATATAACTCGTGGCGCCCGAGTATGGGAAGCAGGTCGGTGGGCGGGGCGTGGGCTCGTCCGGGGGATTTGGATCCTTCGGCGGAGAGGAGTCGATTCTCTCGAAATGAATGGGCGAACAAGACTGATTCCGATAGCTTTTAACCTCCGGAACTTCAATTTGAACCTCCTGCAGGTCGTCTGTTATCGGGGTTTGTTCCACGACCGTCTCCAAATATCCGAAATTGGGATGCGAAACCAGCTGTAGACTATTCGGCCTGACGATTCGCTTATCCTCCTCGTCTATCGAGTTCTCTGGGGTTGAAAACGGCGTATGCGTTGGGGACTTCCTTCGCCGCTTTTCCGCACTCAACGACCTTCGCATTGCGTACATCACGGCCTTCGAGGGCATATCGTAATATCCGCATTCGTCCGAAGATTCGCCCGACAGGTTCTTACTTTCTATGGCCAATTCGTCGGCCAAAGTCATTGTGGAGCAACATGGCTGCTCGGCAATGGGTTCGAGACGCTCGAATTCTTGTTGTAGCGTTAGTTGAGGGAAGTAATCGGATGTGGAAGTTTGGCAGTCAGATCGCGCTGAGACCATCGGCGTCGTGTAGAAGCCGGAATCCGAGGCCTCCAGTTCACTGGCGAGGGAGTCGTAAAGCGAGCCCCAACTTCCACTGAAATTTATATTATATATTAGGGAGTTTTGAGGAAGGTGACATTTTATACGCTGAAGAATGAAATTCGTTTTTGTCGTATAAAATGTCACTCAAAAAGCGAACGTAGGCAAAAATCCTAACTATCAAGTCTACATAATCAGCCAGACTTCCTTTTGTGTCATCACTTTCCGCAAAAATATCTTTTTTACCACTTTATATTATACTACCCCTACTACAATATAACTTACGTTTGTTTGCTTTTCAAGATGCTCAACTCATCCTTCGTCTCTGTCAGCAATCCAGCTACTTCCACATATCTCTCACTGAGCTGTTCGACCTCCAATTTCAGTTCTTCGTGAGTTCGAATGGCCTCAGTCAGCTCTTCCCTGAGGTCATTGTTCTCATTATCCAACCGTTTTTCGTTCCTCTTCCTCGTCGAGGTCTCCTTCAAGAGCTGTTGAATCTTCTGATCCTGCTCCGCGCATTCCAAATTCTTCTCTTTGAGCTGTTTTTGGATCCGATTTATCTTGCAATTGGCTCGCTCTAGTTGGTTGAGATAATCCCTTATCCTCTCCTCTGTTCGTTCGTCTAGCGCGGCCGCCGAATCTTTTAGACGGACGGTTTCGGACTTGAGCGCCTGATTCTCCTCCTCCAACTTCTTTACCCGCGTTTGGAGGCGCTCCACGAACACTGGATTATACCTGAAGATGGATAAGATAACATTGAAAATGGATAATTTTACTGAGATAAATCTGTTTTAAAAGATGCTTTTGAGTGAATAATGTATTTTAAATTATAAATAGCACCTTTTTCCCTCTAGGATACACCTTTTCGAAGACATTTTATATTACTTTAGCACATAAATCAGAAAAATCTTTGTTTTTCGATGAAAAATCCCAAGTTTGCGGATAGAATCAGCTTCGAAATTGTTCGGTCCCGTGACGAAAACTACAAGACCTTTGGCATTACGTTTTGTCCCATGGCCAAGGAGGATTATATTATTCAGTGAATGTGTGTGTTACGCTATATATTGCTATTATTGTTTCTGTAATAAATCTATCTATATTTATTACTCTACATTCGGCTGACTACATATCTTCGCGGATACAAGTGAGGATATAACAACTGGCGCAGTCTACACGAGCAGAAGAAGAATTACGACGTGGAACCAGTTCAGCTCTCCACGACCTTCTACTGCAACTTCGAACCAGGTACTCTTCAATTTTTTGTTCTCGCCTTTAGATTCTGAATCTTCCTCGCGGAAAACAGAATTCCTACACCATACAAGGACTGAAGAGAGAACAGAATGGATAAACTCCCGGACCTCCTAACTAAAATGATGGAGACGATGAAAATTCAAGGAGAATCCATCAAGAATCTTGCTGCGACGATGGAATCCAGCATGAAACTTCCGTCGATCGACCGAACTTCAGCTCTCACCCACACGATGTCACTCCTGGGACAGTTCACATACAACCCAGATCAAGACTACACGTTCACGGAATGGTTCGGCCAAAACGAGGCCATCCTGGACGACAACTGCAAGGATGATGCTGAAAGGAAGAAAATAATCCTGAAAGCACTGGGGAAGGATGAATACGTTCAACTAAAAGGAAGAACTTCGCCGAAGACGCCCGAAGCAATGGACTATCAGGAATTACTGAAGATATTGAAAGAAATTTTTGGTTCGACGATGTCCCTCTTCCGGCGCAGACACGAAACCCTGTCCCTCACCCTCCCACCTGGAAAAACAGCAGATGAGATGCTGAACGAGGCAAATATCAGAGGTGACAAGTTTGAATTCACTGACTTGAATATCAATCAATTCAAGATCTTCCTCGCCCTTCAATTCATAAAGGACCCCTCTTACAAGAGCATCCGATCCATGATTCTAAAAGCCGTTGACCAGAAGCCGGACATTACCATCGATGAACTGCGAAAAGTCCTCAAAAGCTTCGAAACACGAATGGAAGACGTGAACCTGGGAAACTCACATGATCCTAGCACCTCATACGAAGTCAACGAGCTACAAAAGTACCACCGTCGGCCGAAATACACTCCCCGCGGAAAGACGGTTCACAGGAACAAAAACCAGACAGCAAAGTCTGCGGGAGACTACACATGTTACAAATGCAACGGACCCCATCTGGCAACTTCGTGTCAGAAGACGAACCTATGTTGTGCCTTCTGTAAGAAACAAGGACACAACGAAGCTGCATGCCTCAAGAAGAAGGCCAGACAATTCAACAACATTGTGATCAATAATGTTGGCTCTGGAGACAGTCGAGAATACGTTACAGTGGGAATAAACGCAAAAGTGATGGAATTCAGAATCGACAGTGGCGCCGATATGTCAATAATTGGCCCCGAAAAGTGGAAGGCACTAAACAGACCTCCACTTACACCATTCCACATAACTTGCTCATCCGTCGATGGTTCTCCCCTCACTGTAAAAGGAAGTTTCAAGGCAAACCTGAAGTATAATGGTCATTCATATACAGATACCATCCTAGTCCTTGCAAAGAAAGACACCGCACTACTCTGCGGAAAAGCCTCAAAGGAACTTGGAGTAATTACATTCCACAACAAAGAAGAGGCAAATATCAACATCGTCGACTCCTACGCCCAGACGATGGCGGTCCAGTACACGGACTTATTCAAGGAAGAATTGGGGAAATGCACGAAAATGCAAGTACATCTCCAAGTCAAACCCAATGTCAACCCCGTCCACAAACGCGCAAGACCTGTGGCTATTGCCGTTCAAGACCAAGTAAATACAGAACTTGATCGACTGCTGGACAATGGAACTCTGAAGAAAGTAGATACATCAGAATGGGCATCTCCAATCGTGGTCGCAAAAAAACCTGGAGGCAAAATCCGCCTATGTGCCGACTATTCCACCGGCCTCAACGACGCCCTGGCAGACATTGAACACCCCCTCCCAAATATGGAGGAGATTTTGTCCAAATTCACGGGCAATACGGTCTTCACTCAATTAGATCTGTCTGACGCTTATCTTCAACTTCCACTCGATGAAGAAAGCCAACGGTTGACAACAATCAACACTCATCGAGGACTGTTCCAATACACTCGCCTCGTATTTGGTCTAAAACCGGCTCCCGCCATATTTCAACGGACCCTCGAGCAAGCCCTTTCAGGCATTCCGGGCATACTGATCTACCTCGACGACATACTCGTTATGGCCCCCAATCGTCAACTACACGACGAACGATTACATCAGGTTCTATTAAAACTTGAAAACTGGGGATTCAGACTTCGTCTGACCAAATGTCATTTCAATGTCCCTGAAGTTACATACCTGGGAATGAAGATCACACCATCTGGAATACAGGCCGATCCTACTCGAGTCTCCTCCCTCCAGAATATGAGGATCCCCAAGGATCAGAAAGATGTACGATCCCTCCTTGGACTCATAAATTATTACGGAAAATTTATTCGAGATCTCCACATTTACAAAGCCCCGCTCGAGCAGCTACTACACAAGGAGAAGATATTCAAATGGACTCCAACACATACACGTGCCTTTACACAGATCAAGAAGGTCCTGTCCAGTCCGCTACTCCTGGCACACTACGATCCCCGCCAACAACTGATCGTTGCAGCTGACGCCTGCCAATATGGGATCGGGGGAGTCCTATTACAACGATACACAGACGGATCAGAGAAGGCAGTCTTCCACATTTCGAAGTCCCTGACTCCCTCTCAACAGAACTACAGCCAAATTGAGAAGGAAGCCTTTGCCCTCGTCACTACAGTGGAGCGGCTACACAAGTTCGTCTGGGGACGAAAATTTATACTACAGACGGATCACAGACCCTTACTCACCCTCCTAAATCCCTCAAATACAAAAGGACTGAGTGACCGAACCGCGGCAAGACTCAGGAGATGGGCGTTACGTCTTATTGGATATGACTTCACCATAGAGTACATCAAAACCGATCAATTCGGTCAAGCCGATTGTCTCTCCAGACTGATCCAAGCAGCTCGATCAGATGAGGACCCAGAACTCGAGACGGTCATCGCCTCCTTCGAAGTCCTGGAAAGGGAAATCAATGAAGTCATCACTGAAAATTTGAGTACGTACACCACTCAATCGGAGTTCATCCAGGCGACGAAAGCCGACCCCCTGTTCCAAACCCTCATACAACGAATTTCGAAGGGATGGAAAACCTCCGACAAAGATGATCCGCTGCTAAGACCTTACGTTCTAATCAAAGATTCCCTATCAGAAGTCAAAGGAATCCTACTCTACGATGACAGAGTGATGATCCCAAAAGCTTACAGGAAAAAGGTTATCGAAAAATTACACCAAGCCCACCCAGGAATTACACGAATGAAGAAATTGGCACGAAGCCATTTCTACTGGCCTCAAATGGGCAAGGATATCGAGATGGCGGTTAAAGGTTGTCAACATTGCATCGACACCGCCAATACACCCCGCAAAATCCCACTCCAACCTTGGCCAGAAACCCAAAAACCATGGTCTAGGATTCATCTCGATTTCGCCGAACCTAAGAAAGGTCATCAATTCCTTGTTGTCGTTGACAGTTATTCCAAACTCCTGGACGCGCACTGGATGAACCCTGCGGACTCCAAAAATTTGATCGCCTACTTACACATCCTGTTCCGACACTTTGGAGCCCCGGAAACTCTTGTCACAGATAACGGAGGACAGTTTATTTCCGAAGAGTTCGCCAAATTCTGTCAAAACCTCCAGATCGTCCACCTCAAAAGCGCACCCAGGATGCCTCAAAGCAATGGCCACGCTGAAAGACCAGTCCAGACACTGAAGAAATCGTTGGAAGCCAACAAATCTTCCCTCGATACAGCGGTACTTACGTACAATTACACCCCCAATGAAGCTCTTGATGGACGAACCCCCAACGAAGTCTTCTTTGGACGCCAACTCCGTACACCCTTTGATGTTTTCAAACCAAACTCACCTCACTTCCCAAATATGGACAAATCCGATGACATTACACAGCTAAATCGGTCCCAGAAGATCATGAAGAAGAAATTCGATAGCCACCATGGAGCCAGGCCTCGATTCTTTACAAAGGGAGAGATGGTGACGATACAACTCGTTACTGGTAAACGAGTCACTGGGAAACTCATTCAGTTCTTGGGGAAGACTATGGCAAAAGTTCAAGTGCAGGACCAAGTACACACTCGCCACTTCAACCAAATCTGGAAGCGGTTCCCTTACGAGTACGATACGATGGTGGAAGAAGAGAATAATACACCCCCGGCAAGTTATTCCTCTAATCTATCCCACTATTTTCCGGTTGTTCCGAACCGATCTAATGGACCTGACGCACCTCCTACCGTTGCCCGGCGAATACAGCCCAGCCGAAACGCCAAGAAGCCCTTGGACTATCAACAGCTCTCCGGCCGTCGTCAAAAAGCCAAGCAATGATCCTTTTCCACAAAGGGAGATGTTCGGTCCCGTGACGAAAACTACAAGACCTTTGGCATTACGTTTTGTCCCATGGCCAAGGAGGATTATATTATTCAGTGAATGTGTGTGTTACGCTATATATTGCTATTATTGTTTCTGTAATAAATCTATCTATATTTATTACTCTACATTCGGCTGACTACATATCTTCGCGGATACAAGTGAGGATATAACAGAAATCTCGTAGAAGGCTTCGATAATGGTTCAATATTATAAAAGCTTCTCTATTTTACCATTCAAACATCAATTTCCTCACCTATCCGTCGGCGACGAGTGATTTAGCTCGTCGTATTCGGAATACGCCTCCAAGAGATCGCTGCGTTGCTGGAGTTGATGCTTCAACTGCTGAATACAGTCATTGCTGGCGCTCAACGACTCCTCCAAGAACTCGTTTCTAAATTTTCAGTAACAACAAATTACAGTAACTTACCGTTCTTTGAGCTCTCGGTTCTGTTCCAGCAGGGAATTGCCCAAAATCGCGACGTATTCGAGCTCTTGTTCTTTCTGAAAACAACAAACATGAGAAAACAGAAGATGAGTAAGGCAAAAATGGGAGAGAAAATGTGTTCACCAGGCCTGTTTTCAGCAATTCCTCCAGAGTTTGGTCGGAAATCGACTCCATTTACGGGATTTTGGACATTTTTTGCGGATTTCGCCACTAAAACTTAAAATGCACTTAGTTTCGAGTAGTCCATAACATTATGCACGAAGTGGCGAACAAAAAACAAGAAAAAACAAAAGATTTTTGGCTTTTTGAGATAAAATCAATAGTGACACTTCGTCCAAAAGTCAAAAACCAAGAAAATTTTGAGGTTTTGGGTCCGATTAGAGAAGATTAGGCCGAAAAAGGACTAGAGTGGAATAGTTTAGCTAATTTTATGGACTGAATTATCAAAAATCTAAATTTAGTTGAACTACTTTGAGATTTTTACTAAAATTTTTTGGAAAAATCGAGTAGATAACAGCTGTCAGAGTGGTGGTAAAAAGTTGTTTTGTTTACTAAGCCTTTTTGAACCCTTTACTAGATCAGTGATCACGATTATCAATATTTTTCACCATAAAAGGACGTTTTATACCAAAAAAACATAATTTGTACCTAAAAAACCTTGATTTTGAATGTTTAAAGAACATTTAGAGGCTATGCTTGACTTAAAGGACAATTTAAACACCTTAACGTCCCGGTAACTATTGCTACATCGGAAATATATCGAAATTTACTGAAAAATTGAGTAAAATAAGGTCTGAAATGGTTAACGTCTAATTGAAGGTCGACGTTGGTAAAAACAAAGTTAATTTTATTACTTTGGAACTCCACTTCATAGATCTAGCCTACTAGAGACTAAATTAGTTGAAGTCTGCGCACTTTCCCGTCAAAATGTTTTTCGTACCTACTACAATATAATGTTCACCCAAAATTTTATATTTATCCCTCTAAAATAACGCAATAGCCTCCTTTATGCTTAAACATCGCTTTGTTACTCCTTTAAAATGGGAAACCGATCTGTCTAGTCGAGTTCTAAATCCCCTTTACCTCCAAAAACTTTGACCCGCTGTCACAAATCGAACGGACCCCTTTTCTGTTCGAAAAGTCTTAAAACTCCGTTCAAAGAGTCTGCGGACAGTTCCCAGAGGTAATTTGGAGACTTGATTAACTACTGTTTTCGCCTATTTTAATCCGATTTGAACGCGAATTACAAAAAAGTCGAAAAGATTGGCGGATTTTGATGTGCAATCATAACAACAAAGGAAGAACTTCCTAATCCTATTTGCACCTTCCAAATGGGATAAACAGATCGACGGACCGCATGGTCTGCCCTTAAATTGGGTTAATTGTAACGAAAATACAGTAAATTCCAAATGTATTTTAACGAATTAAAAGTTACTGTTTAAGGCGTTCGGGTAGACAGTAAAATTCGTAGGTTTTCGAAAGAATCTCACGTAAAATTTACCGAAGCCTTCGAATTTCGAAAGTTTTAATGGGAATTTGCAAAATTCCCGGCAAAGCAAAAACTTCTAGAAGTCAAAGAGAACAAAAATGAAGATTTTTCAAATCCCAGAGGTCCAAATAGACTCTAGAAGAGAGGGGAATCCCCGATTTTCGCCTTATGTCATGCCAACTCGGCCCATAATTACATGGAACGCCGTAGATGGGCAAAAGAAAGATTTTATTTATCGCCCTCATATCCCTCAACATTCATGCGTTTTCGGCGTTTTCGTGCAGTTTCTGATGAGATTGGGTAGTTGAAAGCCGATTAAAGGTCAGAGAACGGGATGAACTGAGTTTGACTCCTCTAACTTTTGGAGGTGTTATATTACTTTAGATGAATTTTGAAGGAAGTTGGAGGGGTTTGACAGAAAATATAGAATATATAGGGTAGAAAAGATGACGATTGGGGAAAAAGACATTTGGGGAAACTGAAAAAGTATTATTTTTCTTCTATGTTAGTGTCGAAATTAGGATAACCGATGGCGCTGATTTTGAAAATGACATTCATTTTTTTTATCGTTACTGTTTTCCTCAAGTAGTACTGTAAAGTAGTAATTTTTTGAACTTTTTTCACAATAATAGATTTAGAGGTTTTCGATAGTGCTCAGTTTTTCATTTGAAACCAGCACACCATGGAAAGCCCCTAAATCGAGCATTTGTAAAAAAGGTTCAAAAAATTACTTCTTTACAGTTTTACTTAAGTAAAATAGTAATGATCAAAAAAGAATGAATATCATTTTCAAAATCAGCGCCATTGGTTATCCTAATTTCGACACTTTCATCGAAGAAAAATAATACTTTACAGTTTCCCCAATTGACGACGTTCCTAATTTGGTTAAAGATCGATTAAAATTTTCTGCTTATTTCGCTAAAAGTTAATTTCTACGCGTAAGGCCACTGTTACTATCAGGGTCCATGATTCAACTGGGTTATGTCATCATTTTGAGTCTAAGTGACATTTTATACGATGAAACCTGTCATTACTCTAACTCAAAAATCTGAACCATCCCAAAACAACCCCTCAACAAAACCCCAAAAACCATTTCGAATCGCGCTATGCATTTCAACGGCGACATTATATAAGAAAAAGATGGATTTAGCCCCCTTTCTTTTCTCTCGAGAGATCCTCCGTTCGCTTAATTAAAATGCCACTTATTTCGTTTCGGAGCTAATTAAGACGCAAAAATCCTTAGAAAACTATATAATACGTGTTTTTGGCTGATCGTAGATATGACAATACCCTAGAGATGTCATTCAAAATTTTTAGAATTTTTTCCAAAGCCGCTGCAGCGAAATTTCAACGCAATTTCGAAGGCTTTTATAGCGAGGGTTGAGAGGCCAAGAACCGAAGGCAAACATTGAGACTAAACGCTTTTTCGTTTTGGTCGAAACGTCGTAAAAAGTTGCGAATTTTGTGTGTGCTTGCTTGACCATAAACATGGTGAATATAAATTTTTGTTAGAAAAATTGTGTAGGATCGTAAATTTTGGAGAATAATAGAACCCTACAAAATGTTTTTAACTTCTAATCTATACTTACGACAGAATGCCAAAATTTTTGTTTCGAAAATCGCTAAAAAAAATGGATTTTGGCAATTTTTGAAATGAAAATTTTGATTACTTTTGCAAAACGTGCGCCAAAAAACGTCGTATAGACCTTAGGCATCTTTAAGCTTGATTTTTCCAAACTTTATCAAGATACGATAGCTTTATTTTGAGCTATTTCAAATTCCTGATAACACATGTCTATGGATAACATAAATTGATAAAACCCCCGCGCTTACCTCAGCCAAAACCTTCCGAAAATGCACACTGTCCTCGGAGCTTGCCGGCGACGTTGCGGACGACGTGGAGGCTGAGCTGTCAGCTTGTTCTGGATGGGCCGCGAGCCCATTTGTACTCGCGGCCGCCAGATTCCGCGCGGCCATTGGGGGCGGGACTTTCCGATGGGCCGGCGGGAATTCTGCAAGTAATACTGTTTATTTTTCAAAAAACAGCCCTTTTAAATGCATTTTTTGCAAATAGTAAACAATTATAGCGAATAATCCCAGAAATGACGTCATTTTTTAAATCTGTTTTTCCAGGAGAATCCGGGAATATTTCGAGTTTTTGCACTGTAAACAGCAATAAAATGTTTTATAATCTACTCATTACAGTTTGGGTTGTGAGGCGCGCCCGATTTTTAGTAGATAACAATCAAAACTCGAGGGGATTCATAAAAATTGGGGAATAATGAGTCATAAACGGGCGAAAGCACATGACATTTCAAGGATATGGAAGGGAAGGTCAGATTATTGAGTTTTGTGTGGTGTAAGCAAGGAATGTGATGTGTTTTAGTGGTTGTTGAAGAAGTGTAAAACCAAAAATATTTCGATTTTGAAATATTTTGGAGGAAAATTGATGAAAAAATAGAGTAGGATAAATGTCAAAGTTTGAGTCAGTTCTGTGGACTGACGACGAAGGCTATAGCTTTATAGGATATAAAAAGACATTTGCCCATATTGGGACAGAATTTGAGACTAGTAAAGTGTAAAATACGCGATATTCAATAAGGTTGCGGACCTGATCCAGTGGCAAAAAGCGTACCATTTTGCATCCGGGAAGTATCACAAAATGTAGCAAAATGCCTCCCTCTCCAATTGAAAAAATGTCGTATTTCAAAGCGCTGTTTTTGTGAGGGAAAGGGCACCCTCAAAAACATAGTTTTTTCACTTGGAAAGGGAGGTATTTTGCTACATTTTTTGATACTTCCCGGATGCAAAATAGTACGTTTTTTGCCACTGGATCAGGCCCGCCACTGTAGGTCCAAAAGCATTTCTTCGTCTACGGTATCAATGACGAATAAGCCTAATATTTAGTGTGCCAAATCGCTAATTAGTAGGCCAAAAATTACAGTAGTTATAGACCTATAAAAATGTTTCAAAATTATGAAAAATCATGAAATTTTTTTTTAATTTTTCTATAAAATTCTTTTTCACAAAGTTGTGAAACAGCGATTATAAGACCGAAAGCAACATATAAAAATTCCAAAACCATCGAAAAACCCCGGGAAATAATCGAAAAAGCGAGCGAATCAATAGAATTTGGAGAGAATCCTTATCAGAGAACATTTCAATCGCCCTTTCAATGACCCGCAAGACTTTTTGAACATTCTTTCCTATAAAATTCCTAGTTTCTTCTCAACTGTTTTGCTGTAAATCGCCGTGCGATTGTTTACACCTTACGGTTGTGGTTTCCGGCGAGAGAAATTGTTAGTCATTTTCTGAGGAGAGCGATTGTTTTTAAACTTCGAAATTTCTGGGGAAAAAAGCGCTATAGACTGTAAAAATTGGGGTGCTATTATCAATCTGTCGGGAAAATAATGAGCACTCTGTCGCATCGAAAATTGCATTGCCGCTGAGAAAATGAATTTTGCCGCGGAAAAATCAAATTGCTTTTCATTTCAGCGACACAATCAGCGCAGCAAAATTGTGCTCATTATTTTCCCGACAGACTGATAGTATTTTCATAAAGTGCGTGGACATTTTGTCTCGGTCCGCACTGTCACAAAAAAGCTCCCTATTTTGCACCGTGCATTCCAATCTTTTTGATTTTGCACTGTGCGTTTGAAATATCGCGACGTAAACAAGTTTCAAT